CGCGTCAAGGGGAAAACCGAGGAAGACGCAGGGAAGGGTGCGGGCAGTGAGCTTGTCCGTGCCAGAGGCACGAACGTGAGCAAGGCAGCCCCAGACGTGGAACGCAGACGCGTCACCAGGAGACCCGGTCCAAAGACGGGTCGGCGAAACCTGCGGCTGCTGGGGGTGCGGCCACAGGTTAAGCTGGTGAGAAGCGTAGCGCACGGCGAACGGCCACAGAAAATGGGGTGCACCGGCATGGATCATGGAGGTGCGAGCCACCTCCATGACCAAACCGATGCGTCGCTCAGCGACCCCATTCTGCTGTGGGGAGTCCGGCAGGGTGAACGTCTGGGTGATGCCCTCCGCACGACAAAAGCGACCAAGGACACCTGAGGCAAACTCGCCACCACGGTCGGAGTGAAGACGCAAGACAGGGAGACCTCGGTGGATACGGGCAGAGACAAGCCAGGGGATGAGAGCGTCAGGCACGTCGGCCTTGCGCTCCAGGGGAAAGACTGTGGTGTAGCGAGTGAAGTCGTCGACAAGCACGAGGAAGTAGCGCTCTCGACGCGGCCCATGGACGGGGGCGGGGCCCAGACGTCCATTGTGCAGGGTCTGCAGCGGCGCGGCGGTAGGGGGAAACGAGGAGGAGTGAGGGGCACGGCGAAGCCGACCCTCGACGCAAGGCGTGCAAGGTGGGGCGGGGGAGGAGGGAAAAGCGGGGAGAGAACCAGGGAGACCAAGGACGAGACCGTGCTGGGACATGTGACGCAGACGCGGGAGCGCAGGGTGACCGAGGCGGTGGTGCCAAAGGAGAGTCGGGTGAGTGAGGGACCGACAGGAGCAGGCAGCAGCAACCTGGGAAGACGCAGCCACCTGAAGGGGCGCCCCAGCCGGGGGGGTCACGGTGTCCAGAGTGAACAGGCCGGACACCGGGTCCCGGGGGAACGTGGACAGGGCACCAGTGGCGGCCTCGGTACAGACAGCATGCCGCTCGTGACCAGGGAACGTAGTGGTGACGCCAAGGTCCTGGAGGCAGCCGACACCAACTAGGTTCCTGGAGAACGAGGGGATATGCAGACCTGTGAGAGAGCCCGAAGGAACCGCCGGACAGGGAAGGGCGGTGGAACTGCGGGCGACTACCGACCGCCGGAGGGGTCAGCAAGAGAAACGGCAGCAGGAACAGGAAGCGGCGTCAGTGTAGTGAAGTCGCGGAAGAAGCACCGGGAAGCGCCAGAGTCCAAGGTGAAGGAAAGCGAAGCAGTGGCGTCCGGCGACGGGGCGACGGCGGAAGCACCAAGGCTAAACAAAGCAGGGGCTCCTACGCCTGACGCAGCAGGGGAGGCTAAGCTAGGCACACCTACACTAGACGACAATGAGTAATAAGAGGGAAGCACACTAGAGTCATCAGCATACATCACATGCAGAGCAGAAACAATGGCATCCATGTCCATGTCAAAAATCTGAATCCTACGACTAAGCAAACTGTGCCAGTCCGGGAGGTCTGGCGACGGGCCGAAGCGCTGACGAAACAGGTCGTCCAGGCGACGAAAACAGCAAGGAGTGGTATGACCGAGCTTACTGCAAACGAAGCCGCGATGAGGACCGTTCTGGATCTGGTACTGACAACGCACGCCTCCCAACCACCACTCGGCACACCACCACGCGCACGACCACCTCTAGCGCCAGGCCACCCGGGCGGGAGGACACTCGCCTGCCTCGTCTGCGGCGGTTGCTGCGGCTGCTGCGTCAGCTGCGGCTGCTGCTGCTGCTGCGACTGCGGAGGCGGCTGCTCAGCTGGACCGGGCAGGGTCCCCTCGTCCACTCCAGCACTAGACGACCCGACTCCACCACCACCCCCACCTGCACCCCTCCTCCTCCGCCGCGCCCAACCTTGGGGCGGCGGCCCTTCCCCGAACGGAACTGCGCTGCAGCAGCAGTCTCAGCCACAGCGCAGAACCGTCGGAGAAGGTACACTGAGCGAGGGCACAACCCTGAAAGATAGGGACCGGCACAGTACCGCTCGCCTGGGCGATGGAGCGGTGGCGGGTCTCAATAACAGTCAGGGTGTCTACAAAGTCGGTGAGGGTGAGCTCACCGGGGTGAATGCTAAGGAAGCGGTCGCGGGCGGCGGCAAGGCGGTCATGGAGGCGGGTGGCAAGCAGGTAGAGGGTAGAGGTAATGGGCGGCTGGTGGGCTCTAAGCTGTGCGTCAGTGCAGGCAGCGCGCCAGGTCTCATCTATCGTGCGCAGGTGGGCAGCCAGGTCAGCGACAGTGGGGAAAGACGCAAGGTCGGGAAAGAGCATCGGGAGGATCACGCGACCCACCGAGGCAGCAGGAGGGGTGGAATAGCGCTTGATGACAGCATCTAAGAAAGCCTGGGCGGTAGTGATGGACCGAAACCGAGGGCGCTCAGACTGGGGAAGGGCATTGCTAATGGCAAGCTGGGCGACAGTGTCTCGGGAAAGCCAGACAGAGCGCGCAAGGGCAGCGGCTGCAGTAGACTCGGCTCAGCGGGTGTGGGGTCAGGGGCAGCACAGCAGGGGGTCTGGGCAGGGGAGCGTATCGTCAAGGTGTGCGGAAAGCGGGTGGCCATCCTGCCGCTGGCCAGTGAGGTGGCGACGGAGGTCGGCGAGCCACGCCTCGAACTCCAGAGGCTGGCCTTCAGCGTCGAAGCGAAGCTCCGCCGCCATCAGGAGCAGTGCAGGACTGTACAGTGCGGTACAGTGCGGGGCAGTGCGGTGCAATGCGGTGCAGCGCGGTGCAGTGCGGTGAAGGGGCGGTGCAGTGTGGTGCAGTGCGGTACGTGCGGGTACCGTGCGGGTGCAACGCGGGGTACAGGTGATGGGGAACCATACCAGGAGGGGTGCAGGGCCGGAGCAGGCACGACGAGCGGGCCGCACACAGCTCGGGGCAGGACGGGGCGGGGGCCAGGAGCAGCGGGCACCAGGCCGGCGGGCGAGCGCAGGGCCGAGCAGACGGGCGCGGAGGTCACGAGGGCGGGCGCGGGGCCGGCTAGGATGGGCGCAGGGGCCGAGCGGACGGGCGCGGAGGTCGCAGGCGGCGCGGCCGGCTGGAGGGCGCAGGGCCGAGCGACGGGCGCGGAGGTCGCAGGGCGGGCGCGGGGCCGGTAAGGACGGGCGCAGGGGCCGAGAGGGCGGGCGCGGAGGCCACTAGGCGGGCACAGGGCCGGCTAGGACGGGCGCAGGGGCCGCTAGGGCAGGACGGGGCCGCTAGGACGGGCGCTAGGCGGGCGTGGGGCCGCTAGGGCGAGCACGGGGCCGCTAGGACGGGCGCTGGGCCGCTAGGACGGGTGCTGGGGGCCGCTAGGACGGGCGCTGGGGCCGCGAGGACGGGTGCTGGGGGCCGCTAGGACGGGCGCTGGGGCCGCTAGGGCGGGCACGGGGTCGGCTAGGACGGGCGCAGGGGGCCGCTGGGGCGGGCATGGGGACCGCTAGGGCGGGCACGGGGGCCGTTAGGGCGGGCACGGGGCCAGCTAGGACGGGCGCTATGGCCGAGGGGAGGGGGCGCGTGGGGCGCGAGGGCCGTAAGGAGGGGCGCGAGGGCCGTGAGGAGGGGCGCGAGGGCCGTGAGGAGGGGGCCGCGGGCGCGGCTAGACGGGCGCGCGGGCGCGGCTAGGGGCGGGCGTGGCTAGGAGGGGCGGGTAGGTCCTAGAGCGGAAGCGTGGGCGGGCGGGGACCTACCTACTGCTGATACATCTTAGAACTGAATGAATTGTTGAGTAGAGAGAGCGTACAGGTGAATATACCTAAGTGTTGTACCCTCTAAGAGGTGACCCTATACAGTCTATGCAAGCATAGGAGCTACACATGTTTGACAGGATCTACACGCACTTCGTCAAAGCCAAAATTCGTCATCAACAAGGAAGAACGCGATTGGTTTACCATTTGACCAATGGAATGACTGCCGGACTACTTACAGCACATGAAGTTTACACGTCAGAAGATTCCAAATTGCAGATTTCGTTCGCCGGACTCCAACAAAACGACGTGACTACATCGAACTTCCAGGAATGAAGGGGAGTGTTGTGGTAAGTGAAGTTTTGCATTCCTGCAAGTTCCGTTTTCAGTGTAAGTTAGCAGTTATCGAGTTTCTCCAGTAAGTAATCATGCCCGAGTGCTGATGTCAGCAAAGGCATCGCACGTCTCGGGATGACGTCAGTATTACCGCTTCAGTTACGCGAATAGGCGTAACGAGTCGTTTCAGTCACGCGATCAGTCGCGACCCTATAGTATGCCGAATAGGTCGCATAGCGCGATAGTGACGAACAAGTACTTTCCCTAGAGCTATAAATCCTTGCAATGCCTTTCTATTATTAACCTTGACTAGACACAAAATTATGTGCTCAGGTTATTCAACCTTCAAGTTCATGTGCTCAGCTTCACTCTGATAAGACTTCCGCTGTCTTACTAGTCTACCATTCGAGGGAAAGATCCTTGGTTAAGTCTTCTGCAACACATTGGACAAGTTATTTCACCATACAACCTCCAAAAGCCCTTGCAGAGAGACGACTGGACATATGCATGGTAGATAGCTGCCTGCCAAGCCCGTTTAGTTCTGAGGTGACTAGGTTATGTAAGCAATGCTCGTGGGTGGCGATTGGAGTGGTGGGCGAGTATGATGGGACTGGTTCTAGGGAGGGTATGTGGGTGCAGTAGAGATTTGAGGGTGGACGGACGCGGTGGGCCAGAAAGGCAGCATGGGGGGAAAGGAAGGCAGGAGGTGGTCGGGAAGATAAGAAAGGATGGCGGGAGCGTGAGGGGAGGAGATAAAGAGAGGGAGGGAAGGGAGAGGGTGACACGGGGATGGGGGTTGGGGAGGAGGAGGGGTTGTTGTCACAAGGATAGGGGGAGGGAACCAAGGAAGTGTAATGTAAGGATTGAAGAGTTGTGAGACTCCACTAGTAAGCAGGCTAGTTAGATTCCCAAGCGGATCATCAGTGTGGTTCATTCATCAATCTTCGCATTCGCAGCATTAAAGGTGGCATGCAATCGATTGCGGAGAGCAACTGGATGCTTGTCAAATCTTCAACAGTGTAGACAAAAAATGGCAAGACATAACCCAGGGGAAAAAAAGATAGGACCAGCTGGAACTCTATTACGTCACCAGCTGGAGGCTGAGGAGCTCCTCCTCGGGAATGACGCGGATTTTACAGTCCGACTTGGGGTACGACGCACACATGAGCGCGTAGCCCTGCTCCATGACGTCATCACTCAGCATGCCTTCCGATTGGTCCACCTCACCCGAGATCAGCTTCGCAGGACACGTCATGCACACGCCGAGCTTGCAGTCGTGAGGCAGATCCAGGCCGGCGTCGATGGCGGCGGACAGGATCGTCTCGTCCTCGGGAATCTCGAGGACGTGTGTTGAACCCTGATGCTCGATCTCCACCTTGTGTGCGTGCACGACGAACCGCCTTTTCCCGCCGTGAGAAGCGCTGGAAAGCGTTCGACCGGATCGGTCCGCTGAGGACATGTGGACAGGCGACGAAGTTGGATTTGAGGATAACTGCGGAGCGGAGTCCTGCGACCGGAATAACGGCCATGTGCAGGCGGCAGGCAGCCATGGCGAAAGAATGTGGACTCTGTGCGGAAGTAGAGTGGACACGGAGGTAAGTCTAGTCAACCTGCTTGGTGTCGCTGTAATAAGAGCAAGCAGTCGGCGAGACTTTACTGGTGTCTGAACACTAGACGCGCAGCTCTGGCTTCGGGAAAATACGATAAGAGCGAAGGTTTTCGCTACTTGGGACCTAGCACTAGCCCAACACGATTACTCCAGCAGCAGCCAGAGCGAAACTAGTGAGACAGGAAGAACCGGCAACAAGACTGAGGGCGCACACAGAACGTCTGTCGGCGACGTTAAGAGTTTCTGTAAGCACGTTTGGAATGGGAGTGGGGGTCGCAGAAAGTGAAGGTGGGAACAAACCGAGTGGAGTTGTAGCCTAGTGGGAGGGGATTGAGTAGAATGTGGAAGTCAGGGAGCCAGTGTGTGTGGGGTATCGAGACTTGGGATTAGACTTTTGGTTGTTCTGGAGCTCGGATTGGTTGAGCTGGCGGCAACATTTTGGGGGCAACGAGAGAGAGCCACGTCATCAGCGTAGTTGAGCTGGCAGAAACGCAATCCGTTTTCTCGACGTGGCGCGCATATGCCACCAATAGGAAGCTCGCAGGTTTCGCAAAAGGCTAGCTCATGATTGGATTTGGTGATTGGTTCACACAAACTCGTGATGAGTGCACACCCTGCACAAAAGGTTGAACTATTAATCCATCTTAACCAAAATTAGCATACTATAGGCAAGTTGATTCATTTCAAGCTTGGAAGGCAAGAACCTTGAAGGTATGGAACAGCTGAGGGGCTAATCCACTTATAATTGCTTTGTTTAGTTACAAAAAACCGCCATCCTTCATGCAGTAACTCCCTTGGAAGCCAGGAACTCAGCCATCTGTGCCTGCCTCTTCTCAGCCAATGCCGGGAGGAATTTCTTCCGTCCAGGTACAACCTCAAGCGTGCAGCCAGCAGCCTCAAGCTTTTCCCGGGCAGATTCACTGAAAGAAGCCGCCTTGATGGTCACCTTGGTGGAAATCTCGCCATCACCCAAGATCTGATGGAAGGGGCACAAAGGGCAGTAGAACATGAGTGGAGATATGAGTGAAGAAAAGACCGGGAAGGGAGACCTGCGGCCATTCCCCAACGCACCCATTCCCCCATGCATCCATGCCCTCCTTCCCACACACTCTGTGAAACTTAGCCAAAAGAATTCCAAACCTTTCAGGCGAAAAGCTGAAGGACAAGCCCACCTTCAGTAGCAGCCCGCAGTCGCGGCCAGAGGGGTTCACGATCCCATCCTGGTTCTCCAGAGACACCTCCTCCCTTTCCTCCAGCCCCATCTCCAGATCCCCCACGTTTAGCGTCACATACTAGGCAGGAGTCAGGACCACACCCATGCCGCCCGTAATGCCCCCATGCATTCATGCCCCCACGCACCCATGCCCCCCATACTAGGCCAAAATCAACTGGAAAAACTCCCACCTTCAGGAAAAACACCTCACCTTCAGTGGCAGCCTGCGGTCGCGGCCAGAGGGGTTGAGGATGCCATCCTCAATAAGGCTCTCCAGAGACACCTCCTCGCCCTCCTCCAGCCCCATCTCCTCCAGGTCACCCACGTTCAGCGTCACATACTTGGGCAGCCCCGCACCCATGCCGCCCGCAATGCCCTTCAGCTTCGGCAGCCGCCGGTACAGCGGCATCTGCCCGCCCTCGAACCCAGACCTCACGTTCGGCCCGGACCGCGAGTTCTGCCCGCGCATGCCGAACCCGCAGCTCGCGCCCTGCCCGGCTGCGTGCCCGCGACCCTTGCGCTTCTCCTGGCGCCGGGAGCCTGGCTGGGGAGCAAGGTTGTTCAGACGGAAACGCTCTGAAAACAGTGGGGAAAGGGAGAGAGAGGAGGGAGGGAAGGCGGTGGTGGAAGAGGGAGGAGGGGGGGAAAGGGGGAGTAAATAAGGGTTTTCTGCTCGCGCATGCCGAGCCCCAGCTCCCTGGCCTGCCGCGTACCGGCGCTTCTCCTGGCGCCGGGAGCCTGGCTGCGGGGCGAGGCTGTTCAGGCGGAAAAGCTCTTTGGCGGGGAAAGGGAAGGGGGAGTGAAGGGGGGGAGGGGGGTCAGAAGCGGAACAGAAGGGGAGGGGGGAGGGGGCCAGAATTTGGGAGTTGTCCAACGCAACCAGGGGTATGCTGCAAGTGGCATCAGGGTGTACGTTTTCTTTCAGTGAGAGCGAGGCTCTCTAAAGAAGTACGAATACATTAAAAACGCATCACGCGCCACAAAGCAGGAAGATAAGATGACAATTATTCGAGAACATGATGAAAAGAAGAAGAAAAAAAAAGAGCCACCGAAAGGCCAAACAGAAAGCGGGAATCGTCTCCCAAAAAAGAGCCCAGAATTGAGCCGGAATGAACCCCGGAATGACACAAGGAATGAACCCAGGAATGCACTGACAGGGAGCAATGGACTGAAACATATGAACATATGGAAGCAATTTGATCAAGTGTGAGGTAGTCCAGCGGCTCTCAGTGAAATGCGACAGTAAATCGTCACGCTGAACGTCAGTGCGTTGGGACTATATTTGACATCATCAAGCCACCAGGTGTCGTCGTATTGAAGCAGATCAACACTGGAGTGAACGTGCACCAGACGGGGGTGCCAATAACGAGGACAGAGATAGAGGGAGGGAGAGAGGGGAGGCCCGCCGGCACAAGACTCCAGAGAATCGACGGAACCGAAACAGAGCGGCAGTGAAGCGAAAGGCAGTAACTGAGACGCAGCAAGAGGCAAAGAGCGGCAGTGGAGCGAGAGAGAAAGAGAGGCAGTAACTGAGGTAATCGGACGGCTCTCAGTGAAATGCGACAGTAAATCGTCATGCTGAACGTCAGGGCGTTGGGACTATATTTAACATCATCAAGCCACGCGGGGTCATCGTATCGAAGCAGGTCAACACAAGTGAAAAAACGCTGGTGCCAGTGCCGACGAGAGCGAGAGAGGGGATCCTGCCGGAACTAGAGTTCAGAGAGCCGACAAGAATCGACAAAAGCGAGACGAATGAGAGATGAGAGATGGGAGACGAGAGATGAGAATCGAGAAACGGACGAAATGGAGCGAGAGGAGGGAGGTAGTCGCTAGTCGAGAGGCTCTCAGTGAATTGCGACAGTAAATCGTCACGCTGAACGTCAGGGCGTTGGGACTATATTTAACATCATCGAGCCGAAACTTGCACGACCCCGGAACCCCAGCCATCCTTGCTCCGCAAGCTGTCTAAGAACCTGACCTGACAGCGTTCAGCTGATCACCTCGTCCTCCGTTTCCCCGGGAACGAGGCAACCCCCCGGAGCAGCAACTTCGCGGTAACCAATGGCTACTAGGTACGGCTCTGTCAAACGACCCCATCCGACAGATCCACCAACCGACAGTCAAACGGCTCACAAGGAACCGGCTTCGTCTAATTTCCGATGAGCCGTTTATACTGGAAACGGCTCGTTTGCAGGGCTGCATTTCGATCTGCCACCTCGGCCTCTGCTGCTTCTTCCACGCTAAAACCAGTCGTTTGGGGTGCTAAGCGGCTGTGACTATACCCTGACTGTACCCTGACTATATCGAAACAAAGCCTATAGGTGAGCGGCTTGAGGACCTGTGGTATGGCGATCCTAGCTGCTTCTTCTTCTTCCACGCTAAAACCAATCGATTGGTGTGCTAAGCGGCTCTGACTATACCCTGACTGTACCGAAGCCAAAAAGTATAAGTGCGCGGCTTGAGGACCTGTGGTATGGAGATCCCAGCTGCTCCTTCCACATCAAAACTTATCGATTACTGTGCTTGAGCGGCTCTGACTATACATACCCCGACTATACCGAAATACAACTGCAGTGAGCGGCTTAAGGGCCTGTGGTATGGAGATCCCAGCTGCTCCTTCGACACCAAAACTGCTCTCCCTATCTCAGCCGCTCACCTCACCTTGAGCGGCGGCGTCGGCGGCGGCGGCTGAACAACACCCTACCAAAACAGCTCCCTATAACACGTCCTCTCCCTATCACCGCCGCTCACCTCACCTTGAGCGGCGGCGTCCGCGGCGGCGGCTGAGGCCTGCGCGCGCACAGCAACAGCGGAGGAGGCGGTTGCGGAGGCGGCGATTCGGCGGGGAGCGGCGACGGCTGCCCCGCGGAAGGAGACAGAGGCGGAAGACGAGAGCGCCTGAGGGGGAACGGGGGGGCGGAAGGAGACGGGAAGATAGGAGGAAGTGAGCACGAGAGTGATGGAATGAGGCGAGGGTCGGAGAGGCGATTCCATTGCAGGACGAGGCAAGGGACAAAGGCGGACGGAAAATCCGTCGAACTATGAACGCGGATGAGGGAGTGAGCGAGTGGGAGAGAAACCGGAGGTGGTTGTGGGGGAGCCAAGCGTCGACGAAATGATAAGGAAAGATAGGTGAAGGGGAAAAAAATCCCGAGAGCGTGCCACGCAAAAGAAGAAGGAGAAAGAAAAACTACACAAGAAACCACGGAAAGACTCACATTCTGGGATGTCGAAGCAGCGAGCGAAAGGCAGCTCATTTGTGCCTGCGGAGGCGCGACGAGGGACGCCATGGCTGCCGATAGCACAGCTACCTAGAACCACGGAGAAAGGTACATGCAGAAATAGGTAATCCAAAACCCCTAGGGTGGGGTAGTGAGGCGAGCGAGTTGGGTAGGCGAGGCGAGGAGGTGAGGGGAAAAGGGGAAAGAATCAAGGAGTGACGAATATTTGCGACTCTGTTACTGCACAGGATGACAGACGAAGACCTGCTAATCGAGTTCGCAAGGAGGGGCATCGAGGGGTGTTTTGTTTCGTCACCTGGTGCACGAATTTATGCGATGGGATTTGTCGATGCCTCAGTGATGGCTCGGTTACCCCCAGTAGGTACTGCCACGTCGCTTTGCTCTGGAAAACGTGGCAGCGGGAGCCTTTACGGATGACGCTGGCGTGGAAGGTCTGGCTGGGGTGGTATGACATGGAATGGACTCGACGTAGCGGTTCAGGGTTTTGCACTGGAGTAAACAGTTGGTGGGAGTCAGGGAAATTCGCCGATATAAACAGAACCGATGATTCGACAGCGTTGTAACAACTCTGCACTGCTGTTATGAGTGCGGGAGCGAACGAGACCGGAAATGCTACGACTAGCGGTTGCCCTCCGCCTTACCCAGAGGGGGGTAGCCTACCACAGCTTACCGCATCAAAACGCTGTGGAAACACCTTTACCGTCCGCCGTCCATTAGTATTTTTCAGCCTTCAGGTCCGAAAGCCCGCCTCCAATCCAAACCAATTGCGTCCTCAGCTGAACTGAACAACCATTCTAAACCACACGTCCGATATCCATCCCTCTTGCCGCACTCAGCTGAACCCACACGACCAACCATGGAAAACTGGTTCCCAGCTCCCCAGCCTCTCCTACCTCTCGGGCAGCAAACCCGCGGCAGCCTTGGGTTACTCTCACTCGTCGCGCTGCTTTGCCTTTCGTGTTCCTACCCGTAGTTGGGTTTTGTTTTCTTCTTTTTTGCAGGTGCAGTGTCTCAGAGTAGCGAAATGGATTGGCAACAAGGGTACAGTGTGGTTTTGACCTAATGAGATGTACTCTCTAAGGCTCGCCCCTTTTAAGGCTATAGTAACATATACAAATATGCCGATGGCTTGCTTCCGCGCCCCTACGCGCCTGATCCCCTCCCTACTGACCTCACAACTGCTCACCGTGAGGCCTTTTCTGCTGCTGCGCTTGCTCGTGCTCTCTCGGAGTCGCGCGGCGCAGTAGTGCAACTAGCCATTAGTCACGCACTTCCCCTGTCTGAGCGTCCGCACTTTACTGCTTTCGCGAACGCCAATGAGTTCTTAGATGTCGTCGTTGCACGCTACTTCACGCTCGCCTCTGCCTCTGCTGGCCGCCTGATCCTCCCCATGTTGTTTCCTGACCTCGTCGCCTTCCCCACAATTACTGACCTCACCACTCACCTCCGTGCACTAGAGGCTAGCTACCGCGCCGCCAGCACTGAGGCCCAGCTCACTGCCTTCCCCCCGCCGCTCTGTGCTACCCAGTACCTTATTGCCACGCGCCTTCTAGACCGCTTAGCCACTGCCCGCGACCACTTTCTTAGTCAGCACCTAGGTGACCTCACCCTCTCTCAGACTCGCCAGCGCACTATCGATGAGTCGAGCAGTCCCTATCTTGTGCGCCCTCCCGGTGCACTTACGCTAACGTGTCTGCCGCTGTTGCTGAGACAGCCTCTGCCGCTGAGACCGCTGCTGCGGTCTCCGCGCAGTCGCGCCAGCGTCGGGGCCGCCGCCCTAAAGGGGGGCGTGGTGGAGGTAGGGGTGGTGGGGGTGGTGGGGGTGGTGAAGGTGGGGCGGGGACAGTGGTTCCGACGAGGGAACCAGGGCTGGTGCCCCAAAGAGTAGCAGTAGCAGTAGCAGCCGTAGCAGCGGCAGTCGTAGCCGCAACAGCAGCAGCAGCAGTCGTTGGGCCGCCTCCCGCCGGGGTGGCTCGGTGCCTCTGCCGGTGGTGGCCGCATTCGCGGCCCGCGCAACTCGGCGTCGGACGGCAGCTCCGGCACTGGGGCTTGCCAGGTGCAGCTCAAGACCGGCCCCCTCCGCGGCACTGTGTGTGGTCGCCCACACCCTACTGCCCGCTGCTTCCGCTGCCTCGACGACCTCATTCCTCGCCACTTCGGCCCGGAGCCGGACCTTCTTGACTGGCACAGTCTGCTGCGCCATGGTATGTCTCTATTTGAGTTAGACATGGATCAGAATTGTTCTGCTCTGCATTCCTTGTATGTTGATGCTTCTAGTGTGTCCGAACCTAATTATCATGTGTTGCCTACTTTAGGTGTGCCTCCTGTGTGTACTCCAGACTCCCCTGCAGTGTCAGGCGTAGGACCTTCTGCCTTGTTTAGTTTTGGGTCTACGCTTGCTCCTCCGCAGGCTGCAGTTATCACTTCTCTCACCTTTATGCTTGACTCTGGCGCGTCTGCCTGCTCCTTCCGCGACCACGTTGCGCCCTCGCCGCTTGCCGTGCCTGCCGATGTCGCACTCGCTGGCCCCTCCTCCAGTCCTGTAGTAGCCCGTAGCTCCACTACCCTTCCCTGTCCCGCAGTTCCCTCGGGCTTTCCTACACGCCTGCACATCTCCTCGTACTCCAGGAACCTAGTTGGTGTCGCCTGTCTTCACGACCTCGGTGTCACGTCTACATTCCCTGGTCACGAGCGGTACGCTATCTATACCAAGGCCGCCTCAGGTGACCCCCTTGCGACGTTCCCCAGGGACCGGTGTCTGGCTTGTTTACGCTGGACACTGCGTTCCCCCCCGAGGAAGCGTCCTCCCCGGTTTCTGCGTCTACCCAGGTCGCTGCGGCTTGCTCGTGTCGATCGCTCACTCACCAGTCGCTAATGTGGCACAACTGCCTAGGTCACCCCGCACTCCTGCGTTTGCATCATATGTCCCAGCTCGGTCTTGTCTTAGGTCTCCCTGAGTCGCTCCCTGCTCTCCCTTCCTCGCTCGCGCCTCCGTGCACGCCTTGCGTTGAGGGCCGTCTCCACCGTGTTCCCCACTCTCCTCGTTTCCTCCCACCACTGCTGTCACAGGATTGAATGACTCGAGGAAAGATTGCACTATCGATCAGTACAAGGCGCCTTTATACTTCCAAAGTACATCAGGTAACCAGGTTCATCTTATCCTAAGGGAATAGACCCTTCTAGAATATAGAATCACCCTGCGTATAGCCACGCGAGGCTATTGGCTTTAAGGGATTACGGCAAGATTACGCTAGATAGAGCGCACCAGTACATCCCGAGCCTGGTCAGTGATATAGTGAAAATAACAAGATAAACCAAAGGTTAATGGAAAAGGGAGAATACGAAACCAAATGAGATGGGATAAAAAGAGAAATGAAAGAGGAAGGAAATAAGAAAAAGGGACAAGTGGTGTAACGGGGTCGTACTCTCACACTTCCCCCCCTCAAAGCTGGGTGGTAGAAGTAACACCCTGCTTGACAAGGTAGTCATGCAGAGGACGACGGGCGTTACCCATGTCGGACTCAGGGACCCATCTGTCCTCAGAAGGATCATAACCCTTCCAACGGATGAGAAGCTCCACGGAGCCATTCCGACGACGGCGGTGTGCAAGCACGGACTCGACCTCGTACTCGGGTTCATTCAGAACGAGGACGGGCGGCGGTAGCGGCGGTTGGCGTCCGACAAAGACCGTGTTTGGATCCCGATAGGGCTTCAAAAGTTGGACATGGAAGGCGTTGTGAATCTTCCAGGTAGCTGGCAGGCGTAAGCGGAAGGTAACAGGAGTGGCCTGTGCTTCAACGAGAAAAGGCCCGCAGAAGCGAGGTCGAAGTTTAGATGGGAGATGGCTGATGTCAAGGTTGCGGGTGTCAAGGAGCACCTGGTCTCCCACGGTAATGGTGTGGTCGTTGCGATGGCGATCGGCATGGTGCTTTTGTTGCTGCTGAATGTCGAGGAGGCGCTTGTGGGTCCGATCCCAAAGCTGATGCATGGTTGTGATGAAATCATGTGCAGGTTGGACTGTAACGGATGATGTCGGTTTCTGTGGTGTGAGTGGGTGGCGTCCGTAGCAGAGGAAGAACGACGTCTGTCCAGTCGCGGCATGTGTAGCGTTGTTGTAAGCAAACTCTAGAACGGGCAGGTGCTCGGAGGAGTTGCTCGACAATCTGGTTGAGGCGCTCGGTCTGTCCGTCTGTCTGCGGATGATAGGCGGATGACATGGCGAGTTTGGTCCCAAGCAGAGACATGAGTTCCTTCCAGAACTTGCTGGTGAACTTGGGGTCTCGGTCGGAGATGAGTGTGGTTGGAATGCCATGCTGTGAGATGATGTATCGAACGAAGGGTTGTGCTGTTTCTTCGCTGCGTGCTGTCGTGTGTGTCGGGATGAAGTGTCCCATTTTGGAGAATTTGTCGATGACAACAAGGATTGCATCATGACCGCTGGTGGTAGGTGCTAACCCGGTGATGAAGTCCAAGCTAACCACTTGCCATGGCTGTTCTGGGACAGGAAGAGGCTGTAGCAGTCCCGCTTTCTTCTGTTTGCTACTCTTCATCCTCTGACATGTATCACACGAGGTGACACATTTCTGAACATCCTCTGCCAAGTGGGGCCAGTAGTAGTGTTTTGCAATACCGGTCAGCGTCTTGTTGCTACCGAAGTGTCCGGCGTAGAGGACGTCGTGGTATTCTTTGAGTAGTAACTGGCGCAAAGGAGGGTAATTGGGTACCCAAATTTTTGTTGATCCTTTCCGGTACGCGATGTCACTGTCCCACTGTAGCAGATGTCGCTTTTTTGCCAAGGGAATTTCGGGGTCGATGGCGTACCTGTGCGTGAAGAGTCCCTTGAGTAGTGGATTCATCCCTTCGATCTGAATAGCGGCAACGTGTGCAGGTCGGCTGAGAGCATCTGCTTTGTTTTTGTGGCCGGGCTTGTACACGATGTCGTAGTGGAAGTGTGTCTCGAGGAAGTCGATCCACCGGACGTGCCGCCTGGAAAGGTTGGGTTGTGTCTTCAAATATTTCAGGCTGCAGTGGTCGGTGTAGACGGTTGTTCTTCGTCCTTCGAGATAACATCTCCACGCTTTGAAGGCGATGACGATGGCAAGGGCATCTTTGTCGTGTATCGGGTAGTTTAGTTCTGCCCCGTGTAGTTTCTTGCTGAGGTAGGCGATTGGTTGCAGTCCATTCCCTTGGTCTTGCATCAAGACTGCTCCCACTGCCTGGTCACTGGCGTCAGCTTCGATGACGTAGTCGCGTTCGGGATCTGGCAAGATGAGTACTGGTGCGGACGTAAGTGCTTGCTTCAGCTGCTCCACGGCTTCCAGGTGCTTCGGCTCCCATTTGTAGGGCGTGTTCTTTTTCAGCGGATTCGTGAGTGGTGCTGCAAGTTTCGCATACTGTGGCACGAACATGTTGTAGTAATTAGCGAAGCCTAGGAACTGCTGCAACTCCTTCACGTTCTCGGGTGTCTTCCACGTACGTATGGCTTTGATTTTCTTGGGGTCGACGTGAACTCCTTGAGTGCTCACCATGTGTCCTAGGAACTGGACCTTCTCAAGGGCGAATTCGCTCTTGGACAGCTTGACGTAGAATCGTTCTCGTCGAAAAATTTCGAAGACGCGTCGCAGGTGTTTGACGTGCTGCTTTATGTCGCCCGAGGATGTTGTCCAGGTACACCACCACGCACTCGTCCAAAAGTGGTCGTAGAATGTGGTTCATTTCGGCTTGGAACGTTGCCGGTGCGTTGGTGAGTCCGAATGGCATTACCAAATACTCGTACGACCCATACCGAGTTCGGAAAGCAGTTTTGTGGATAGAATTGTCCGCCATCCGTATCTGCCAGTATCTGGACTGCAGATCCAGTTTGGAAAATACCGTAGCTCCCCGAAGCTGATCAAGCAGGTCATCGATTCGTGGTATCGGATATTTATTCTTGATGGTCTGCTTGTTGAGAGCTTGGTAATCGATGCACATGCGTAGGCTTCCGTCCGGTTTCGGTGTGAAGAGCAGGGAGAATGTCTTGAAACTCCGTCAACAATTCCTTGATCTTTTCTGGAGGTTCCGAGGTCTTCTCTCCGTCGTTCCCTGCCTCTGTTGCTATCGCCAGGAACCCGGTGTCGGTTTGCTTCTCGTCCTTCTCGAATCGTGCGAGTGTCTCCATTGGGATATCTCCTGTATCGTCCCAGTTGGGTAGCTGTACTCTCCGTCCATTGTTGTAGATGCTTGCGGTGCGGTTCACCCACTTGATCTCGGGGTTGAATCTTTTTAGGAAGTCTCGCCCGAAGATCAAGTCAAGCCCTTTGATGTTGGTGATGGGGAGTGCAGATCTCCAGGGCAGTGGTCCAATTTGTAGGTGTAGCACTGCTTCGCCGTGTACTGGTAACTTGCTGCCGTCCACCATCGTTGCAGAGAATCCTGAAGGCTTGTACTCTTCCCGAAGTCGGTCGATTACTGCCTTGTCGCAGACGGCGTGTGATGCTCCACTGTCCACGAGTGCTTGGAGGTGTCGTCCTTTGCAGATGACCTCGAGCACGAGGGGCAGGCGTTGCTCGGAGTACCCAAAAATGGTTTCATTGATTGGGTCATAGGGTACATCCCAATATTCCGTACACACCTTTTCGTTGCTATCTACTCCTGGGCTGGCAGCTAGCTGAGGCTGCTTGGAGAACGGCTCTTCTCCAGGGCCCGGAGTCTCCTTGACGACTGTGCGCGTCACTGATGCCGAAGTTGCTGAACTGGATGCACCCGGAGGAGGAGTTCGGGGTTTCTGCAGCTTCTTGTAGACCCCCAGCTTCCTCTTGAGCTGCTTCAGCTCCACTGACGTCTTCCCTGGGGAACGGGTAGTCGTTGTGGGCTGGTATCGGGAGAGGACGTTGACTCCGTGGAAAGGTCGGCTTCTTTCCACACTCCTTATTTTTTTCCCCAAGTTGTCCGGTACCGGTATAATCTCCACAGCTGTCTGCTTCTTTTGGATTCCTTCCCGAATTTTCTCCAAGGCTCTAGCCCCTCGAGAATTACAAGTTTTCATTAAAGCATCTTTATAAGATATATTTTTACGAATCCTTATAATTTCTTGGGTCTTCAAGGAGTTTCCCCGTCTCGGCAGATTCCTTTTTCGCGGAGTCGTATTTTTCCTCTACGATTTTCCCTGGCGAAGACTGGTCGTGGGGTGGAGATTTTCCCCCATCATTTCCTCCTTCTCACGTCGAATCAGCTTCGTCGAAGTTGATTTTTCCGGAATCCCGCGGCCACTTTCGGATCTTTTTATTTTCGCCAGCTAGATCCGCAATCACTGGCGACTCCCATTTTTTGTCTTCTGATTGGCCGAAGGAATTCCGCCACTGTTGGGTGCCCTTTATTCTGCGCGTGCGGCTTTCATTTTGTAGCAGTCGAAGATTCGATGACCCGGCACCCCGCAAAAATCACACGTGTAGTTGGTGTTTTTCGGACGTGGCCGCCCCTCGAACCTGTCGACTTCCATCGGGTTGGCGAACGTGGGGTGAGCCGAGCGGTCGCCCTGTCGCGTACTGCCGACGTGCGTCCGTCGTGTCCCGGCGTTGACCATGTCGAAGCGCTCCACTGCTGGAACGACGACTCTGTAGCTCGCGTAGTTTGACGCTGCCACTTGTCGTTTGACTTTAGTCTTCAGCCCGGCAAGGTACGACTGTACTTTTTCCCCTTCGGTCAGGTCGGGAATTCGGTTATAAAATTCCTCCATCTGCTGTGTGTACTGCGCTACACTCCCGAACTGTCGGTGTCGATGAATTTTTTCCCGGGCAAGGAAACCCGAATTTATCGGCTCAAATCGTTTCAGCTGGTCGGCGCGGAACTGCTGCCACGTGGCTTCACCGTGGATGAAGGTGCTGTTGCCGCCAATCCACTCAAGTGCCGGCCCTCGCATCAGTGTCGCCGCGAGTCGTACACGTTGACCGTCCCAGACTGGCGAGCTCCATCCGACGGCTGCGAAGTAGATCTCCATCCCGGCGATCCATCTACGGGCGTCGGAGTTTCGATCGCTCGGATCGAACGGCTCAGGTGGGCGCGGTTTCGGAGCCTCGAGAAACTGCTGCGACTGCTGCGTCGTTGCCGTTGTCGAGTCGTGCTGCGCTCCGGCGAGTCGAGTTACTCGCTCGAACTCGTTTCGCCACGCTTCGCGATCCGCTCGCATCTCCTCCTGAAGGGCTGCAATGCTCGCGAAGAGCTGTTGGGTAACCTCGGCGTTGTCGAAGGTTGCCATCCTGTTCAAAACACGCGCGGGGGGGGGGGGGGGTGATTCGAAAAAATGCGGAGTTGGTGCTTACCAGAATCGCTGCGAATTGGTCGCCCCGGCGGTTTTTCGAGGCAGGTTTTCCCGCTGCTGCTGCTTTGTTGAGCGCGGCCGAGTGAGAAAAGCTCTGATTACCAAGTGTTACAGGATCGAATGACTCGAGGAAAGATTGCACTATCGATCAGTACAAGGCATTTTTATACTTCCAAAGTACATCAGGTAACCAGGTTTATCTTATCCTAAGGGAATAGACCCTTATGGAATATAGAATCACCCTGCGTATAGCCACGCGAGGCTATTGGCTTTAAGGGATTACGGCAAGATTACGCTAGATAGAGCGCACCAGGACATCCCGAGCCTGGTCGGTGATATAATGAAAAGAACAGGATAAACCAAAGGTTAATGGAAAAGGGAGAATAGGAAACCAAATGAGATGGGATAAAAAGAGAAATGAAAGAGAAAGGAAATAAAAAAAAGAGACAAGTGGTGTAACGGGGTCGTACTCTCACAACTGCGCCACAGCAAACCTTGCACATGGACGTCTGGGGCCCAGCCCCGGTCCCTGGGCCGCGTCGCGAGCGCTACTTTCTGGTCCTAGTTGACGACTAGACGCGCAACACTACAATGTTTCCCTTGGAGCGGAAGGGCGGCGTGCCTAACGTTCTTATCCCATGGTTCGTAGCTGCGCGAGTCCACCGTCATCTCCCTGTCTTGCGTCTCCACTTTGATCGTGGCAATGAGTTTGCCTCTGGCCGGCTTGGCCAATTCTGTTGTGCAGAGGGTATCACACAGTCGTTCACCCTACCAAACTTTCCACAGCAAAATGGGGTTGCTGAGCGCCGCATCGGCTAAGTCATGGAGGTGGCTCGTACCTCTATGATTCATGCCAGTGCACCCCATTTTCCGTGGCCGTTCGCTGTTTGCTACGCCGCTTACCAGTTTAACATGTGGCCGTACTCCTAGCGGCCGCAGGTTTTGCCAACCCTTCTCTAGACCGGGTCCCCTGGTGACGCGTCTGCGTTCCACGTCTGGGGCTGCCTTGCTCATGTTCGTGCCTCCGGCATGGAGAAGCTTATCACCTGCACCATCCCCTGTCTTCTTTGACGTCACCTTTGACGAGTCTGTCTCCTTCTTTGCCCGCTTTCCCCACCGAGGTCTCCCGGTTACCCCGCCCCTGTTCCTGGTCCTCGCTCCCCCGGTAGCCCTTGCTCCTCTCCCTCCCCATCCTACCCCGTCTGATGTGTCTCACGTCTTTCCCCTTTCGTGTGCCATCCCGGTGGAGGAGTCGGCTGACTCTGGTTGCCCTGCGGCTCCGGGTTTGCCGCCTGTCTCTTCCCCAGTGTCTCCTTTCCTCGGTGTAGCAGCAGCCGCCTTCGCCGCCGTCGTAGAAGCTGCAGTTGCCGTCCCTGCCGTTGCCGCCGATGCCGCCGCCGCCATCGTCGCCGCTGGGTTCCGCGCGCTCTGGGGGTGCGGGCGTTGAGGAGGTTGCTGGAGAGGGTGCTAGTCCTAGGGTTACTGTCGTGGCTCATCTCGGTGGTCCTGGGGGTGGCACGAGTGCAGGAGAGGGTGTTGGAGAGGGTGCTAGTTCTGGGGTTGATCATCCTGGTGTGGAGCAGCAGCGGCCGCCGCAGCCAGAGCAGCAGTCGCCGCACGTGTCCGTCCTTCGCCTCTTTGGTCTTCCCTCCCCCGAGTGCCAGGCTGTTCCTCCTCCTTCGCTGCCTCCCCTGCCAGTCTACGACCTTGTGTTTCCTCCGCCCGACTCGTCTCCGGCTCGTTTCCCCCCTCATTCCTTTCCTGTGTCTCCTCCTCTCTCTCATGACCCGACACCTCCCTCTCACGTCTGGTCTTGCCGTCCCCCTCGTGCTCGTCCTGTCTCTCCTGTTCAGCGCTCTCACCCCATGTTGCTTCGTTCCACTTGTCTCGTGCTCCTCCGCTCCTTCCGTCGCCTCCTCCGTCGTCGCTTGCTGTCACCCCGCCTCCTTTCTCTGACATTCTTCGTGCTGCGCGTCCCCTTGTCCCTCGAGTCCTTGACTCTTTTGTTATAGACCCGTCCGTTCATGTCGCTAGTCTGTCGGCTCTTGTCGCTGCTGTCGCTGACTTTGCCTCAACCTGCTGCCTTGACTACGCCACTGCTCTGGTCTCTGACCCTGCCTACCCTCTGTCCGTCGGGGGGTACATCAGGTAGCCAGGTTTATCATATCCCAAGGGAATAGACCCTTCTAGAAAATAGAATCACTCTGCGTACAGCCACACAAGGCTATTGGCTTTAAGGGATTACGGCAGGATTACGCTAGATATAGCGCGCCAGTACATCCCGAGCCTGGTCGGTGATATAACGATAATAACAGGATAAACCAAAGGTTTATGGAAAAGAAGGAATAGGAATCCAAATGGAATGAGAAAAAGACCAAATGAATCAAGATAAAAAAGAGGAATGAAAGGGGAGATGGAAAGGAGAAAGGAATGGTATGGGGTCCTACTCTCACACTTCCCCCTCTCAAAGCTGGGTGGTAGACGTAACACCCTGCTTGACAAGGTAGTCGCGAAGAGGACGACGAGCGTGGTCCATCTCGGATTCAGAGAACCAAATATCCTCTGAAGGATCATAACCCTTCCAACGGATGAGAAGCTCCACGTTGCCATTTCGTCGATGGCGGTGAGCAAGCACGGACTTGACCTCGTACTCGGGTTCATCATGGACGAGGACGGGTGGCGGCGGCGGCGGTTGGCGTCCAGAGAAGACCATGTTGGGATCTCGGTAGGGCTTCAAGAGTTGGACATGGAAGGCATTGTGAATCTTCCAGGTAGCTGGCAGGCGTAAGCAGAAGGTAACAAGAGTGACTTGTGCTTCAACGAGAAAAGGCCTGCAGAAGCGAGGTCGCAGTTTGGATGGGAGATGGCTGATATCAAGATTGCGTGTGTCGATTAGTACTCGATCTCCTACGGTGATGGTGTGGTCGGTGCGGTGGCGATCGGCCTGGCGCTTCTGTTGTTGTTGAATGTCGAGAAGGCGCTTGTGGGTCCGATCCCAAAGTGTGTGCATGGTCGTGTTGAAATCATGAGCGGGTTGGACTGTGGCTGGTTTGTTTGGCTGTTGAGGTGTGAGTGGGTGGCGTCCGTAACAGAGGAAGAACGGTGTCTGTCCAGTAGCAGCGTGAGTAGCATTGTTGTAGGCAAACTCCAGGACGGGCAAGTGCAATTCCCACTTGGATATCTCGTCCTTGCAGGCTGCGCGGAGGAGTTGCTCCACAATTTGGTTGAGGCGCTCGGTCTGTCCATCTGTCTGCGGATGGTAGGCGGATGACATGGCGAGTTTGGTCCCGAGTAGAGACATCAGTTCCTTCCAGAATTTGCTGGTGAACTTAGGGTCTCGGTCGGAGATGAGTGTGGTCGGAATGCCATGTTGTGAGATGATGTAGCGAAGAAAGAGTTGTGCCGTCTCCTCGGTGCGTGCTGTTGTGTGTGTCGGGATGAAGTGTCCCATTTTGGAGAACTTGTCAATGACGATGAGGATCGCGTCATGACCGCTTGTTGTAGTTGGTAGCCCGGTGATGATGTCTAGGCTGACCACTTGTCATGGCTGTCCTGGGACAGGAAGAGGCTGTAGCAGATCCATCTTTTTCTGCTTGCTGCTCTTCATCCGCTGACATGTACGGCACGAGGTGACGAATTTATGTACGTCATCTGCCATGTGGGGCCAGTAGTAGTGTTTGGCGATACTGGTGAGCGTCTTGTTGGTACCGAAGTCTCTGGCGTACAGGACGTCGTGGTATTCTTTGAGTAGTAACTGGCGCAATGGAGGGTAATTAGGTACCCTGATCTTACTGAGTTCGGAAAAGCAGTTTTGTGAACAGAATCGTCCACCATTCGTATCTGCCAGTATCCGGACCGCAGATCTAGTTTGGAGAATACCATGGCTCCCCGAAGCTGGTCAAGCAGATCATCGATTCGTGGAATCGGGTACTTGTTTTTTATTGTCTGCTTATTGAGAGCTCGGTAGTCAATGCACATGTGCAGGCTTCCGTCCGGTTTTGGTGTGAAGAGTACTAGGGCACCGTATGGTGAAGTGGATGGTCAGATGAGTCCTTTGGCGAGGAAATACTTGATCTGCTTCTTTATGTCAGCTAGCTCTGTGGGGCCGAGCCAATGTGGTGCTCGGAAGGTTGGCTTCGAACCTGGTTCTTCCACGATCTCGTGTTGGTGTGTTCGGTATGGCGGTAGCTCGTCCGGAAGGTCGTCGGGAAGAATGTCTTGGAACTCCTTCAGTAAGTCCTTGATTTTTTCTGGAGGTTCCGAGGCTTTCTTTCTGTCATTCTCCACCTCTGTTTCTATCACCAGAAATCCGGTGTCGGTTTGCTTGACGTCCTTCTCGAATCTTGTGAGTGTCTCCACTGGGATATCTCCTGTATCGTCCCAGTTGGGTAGCTAGACTCTCATTCCTTTGTTGTAGATGCTTGCGGTGCGGTTTACCCAGTTGATCTCGGGGTTGAATTTCTTGAGGAAGTCTCGCCCGAAGATCAGGTCAAGCCCTTTTATATTGGTGATGGGGAGTGCAGGTCTCCAGCGCAGTGGTCCAATTTGTAGGTGTAGCATTGCTTCGCCGTACATTGGTAACTTGCTGCCGTCCACCATCGTTGCAGAAAACGCTGATGGCTTGTACTCTTGTCGAATTCGGTCGATGGTTGCCTTGTCGCATACGGTGTGCGATGCTCCGCTGTCCACGAGTGCTTGGAGGTGTCGTCCTTTGCAGATGACCTCGAGCACGAGGAGCAGGCGTTGCTCGGAGTACCCAAAGATACAGTGGCGGAAAATATTGCCCGGATGTTTAGCACTTTGGAACATATCGATATGCCACACTTGTTTCGAAAATAGTAACACCATTTTTTTCCCGTCCTGTTACAAGGTTTTCGAGTTCTGCTTCAACCGTTTCTTGTTTGGCGCGATTGTGACACAACCGGAAAGCGGGGTTGAGATTTACTGCTCGGCTGTTGATGCGGACAGTTCATACCGAGCGACAGACTAGATCTATTTTCGCCCGTCACTCGCTGTGCAAATCATCACGTGCAACAGCTGCTAGTCTAGGAGTTAATCCTGAAGCGAACCTACGATCGCATCGCAATGAAGCCAGTAGATGACAAGAAGCACGCGCGAATCATAAGCATGTTGCGCAAAGGGCATTCGACTAGGAAAATAGCCAAAGTTCTTGGCATAGGCAAGAGTACCGTGCACGATTACGGTTTGAAGGTGATTGCCGAGACTAGTCTCGATGAGGTGCGACCCACGATGCCCACGGCCGGCCGCCCCCGCTTAATCTCAACCCGACTTCAGCGCGGAATAGTTCGAGCGATTACAAGCGGCAAGGCGAAAAGCAGTGTAGACGCCAAGATGTTGCAGGAGAAGCACGGTCTGGCTGTAGACTTGAAGACGGTCAGGAACTCGTTACAATCCGCGGGCTTGATCGCCATGCAGCAGCCCAAGAAACCCAGGCTCTCACCGAAAAACATACGTGATCGTCTCGATTTCGCGAGGTCGCATGCCGACTGGACGCTGGAGGAGTGGAAGCGGGTGATTTGGTCTGATGAGACTAAGATAAACCATTACTGCTCCGACGGACGTGCGTACGCCTGGATTCGCGAGGGCACCAGCCTCCAGAGCCATCAAGTCCAACAGACAGTTAAGCATGGGGGCGATTCTGTGATGGTGTGGGATTGCATGACGTATGAGGGGGCGGGGTTCATGTGCAAGATAGATGGCAGGATGGATGGGCCGCTGTATCGCAGCATCTTGCAAGATGAGCTCAAACAGACCATCGATTTTTTCAAGCTCCCCCCCTCAGAGGTCATTTTCCAGCACGACAATGATCCCAAGCACAGGTCCCGTTTGGTCCAAGACTGGTTTGGGGAGCAGGAGTACGCGGTGCTGGAATGGCCCTCGTCCTCCCCGGACCTTAACCCGATTGAGCACCTGTGGGCACACTTGAAAAGGCAGCTGGCGGCGTACAAAAAACCACCTAGTAGAATGCTTTCGCAAAGGGACGCTCGACTAGGTACGAGTTTTTCAAGAATCTAGTTTGCTGCCTGTCCTCGGTACAAATTGTCTGGATGTGCTCTTATGATATGCTTAGGTGTTTAAGGACCATGTATTATACTACTCTGGTGTTTGTCGACTTTAATGAGTGCTCTAAATGATCTTCTCCATGTGCATGCACATCATAAATTAAGGCTTAATGTTTACACCGCCGCACTCATCAAAATGTAAAAAAAGACTGAACATGTGGACAATTTTTTCCGTCACTGTAGTTTCATTGATTGGGTCATAGGGTACATCCCAATATTTGTTGCTTCCTACTCCTGAGCTGGCAGCTGGACGAGGCTGCTTGGAGAAAGGCTCTTCTCCTGGGCCCGAAGTTTCCGTGACGACTGTTCGTGTCGTTGACGAAGTTGCCGAGTTGGATGCATCCGAAGAAGAAGGAGTTCGGGGTTTTTGCAGCTTCTTGTAGACCCCCAGCTTCCTCTTGAGTTGCTTCAGCTCCACCGACGTCTTCTATGGGGAACGGGTAGTCGCTGTGGGCTGGTGTCGGGAGAGGACATTGACTCCGTGGAAAGGTCGGCTTCTTTCCACACTCCTTAATTTGGTCCCCAAGCTCTCCGGTACCGGTACGATCTCCATAATTTTATGCTTCTGTTGGACTCCCTCCCGAAATTTCTCCAAGGCTCTAGCCCCTCGAGAATTACAAGTTTCATTAAAGCATCTTTATAAGATAACTTTAACGAATCCTTATAATTTCTTGGGTCTTCAAGGAGTTTCCTCGTCTTGACAGAGTCCTTTTTCGGGGAAAGTTTTTCGGCACTCAGTATTAGGGGCCTCGATAATATGTACGGTCAGTGACGCAGTATAAACAATCAGAATTAGCGAGTTCGCAACATGTTTCATCAGTCGGGTTCCACGGTTAGTCAGAAACTGTAGGAAAAGGTTTCACGAATGGTCAGTAGAAGTAACCCCCGCCCGTCTAGGAACGTTTTCCCGCTCGCGCCAGCCCAATTTCGTCATCATTGTGGCAGGCGCGAAATTTCTCCCCAGCTCCAGGCGCAGTTCGAGCGAAAAAACGTAATATACCCAAATTTAATTTTATTGGACACATGTTTTTCGAGAAACAAGAAAATACGATTTTGTTTCGAAACACATACTTTCGGCGTAGACTCTAGTGCGTTCCGTGAAGCTTAAGAATGGCGGTTTTGTCTCTACCGCATTTACGCCCCCCCAAAAAAGTCAAGCCTTCAACTTATCGTCATTCCCGAATCGCTTGAAAGAAAAACATATAATGAAAACTATGGAAATTTGGGAAATGAATATGTTTAAAATTGCAGCAAAGTACACTCATAACCGCACAAAAATTTGTATTAACTTAAGTACAACAAATCTTTTAGATTTCTGCCAGCTGTGGTTATAAAATTTCTCACAAATGAATTTACTGCAAAAATATTCCCGCTAATTCACGACTCTACAAGTCACATCATGCTAAAAAAAAATTATCGCATGCGCGACACAGTAGAATATTGATGCCTCACTGGCATAGCGCGGATCCCGGATAGATTTGCCCTTGTGTGTCAAATATTTTTTTGTTGTGTGTGCGTTTGTTAATGTTTGAACAATGTCACACCCGATGTGCGGCCCACTGTGGCCCGATTAGCTTATATGACAGAAATGTGCAGGGCCTCAATTTTGGAATTTTGTGTGCGCGACGTTCAAAGAATGTTTATTTTGGGAATATTTTTCGTAGTTCTCTCGAACTGCGCCTGGAACTGGGGAGAAATTTCGTGCCTGCCACAATGATGACGAAATTGGGCTGGCGCGAGCGGGAAAACGTTCCTAGACGGGCGGGGGTTACTTCTACTGACCATTCGTGGAACTTTTTTCCTACAGTTTCTGACTAACCGTGGAACCCGACTGATGAAACATGTTGCGAACTCGCTAATTTTGATTGTTTATATTGCGTCACTGACCGTACATATTATCGAGGCCCCTAATACTGAGCGCCGATGTACTTTCCCCCTTTTTTCGCGGAGTTATATTTTTCTTCGGCGATTTCCTCTGGCGAAGACTGTTCCTGGGGTGGAGATTTTTCCCCATAATTTTCTCCTGTTCGCGTCGAATCAGCTGCGTCGAAGATGATTCTTCCGGAAGTCCGCGGCCGCTTTCGGATATTTTCTTTTTCGCCAGCTAGATCCGCAATCACTGGCGAGTCCCTTTTTTTGGCTTCGGATTGGTCGAAGGATTTCCACCACTGTTGCGTGCCCGATACTCTGCGCGTGCGGCTTTCATCTTGTTGCAGTAGAAATCACACGTGTAGTTGGTGTTTTTCAGACGTGGCCGCCCTTTGAACCTGTCGACTTCCATCGGGTCGACGAACGTGGGGTGAGCCGAGCGGTCGCCCTATCGCGTACTGCCGACGTGCGTCCGTCGTGTCCCGGCGTTGACCATGTCTAAGCGCTCCGCGGCCGATACGACGTCACTGTAGCTCACGTAGTTTGTCGCTTCCACTTGTCGTTTGACTTCGGTCTTCAGCCCGGCGAGGTACGACTGTACTTTTTCCCCTTCAGTCAGGTCGGGAATGCGGTTATAAAATTCCTCCATCTGCTGCGTGTACTGCGCTTCACTCCCGAACTGGCGATGGCGATGAATTATTTCCCGGGCAAGGAAACCCGAATTTATCGGCTCGAAACGTTTCAGCAGGTCGGTGCGGAACTGCTGCCACGTGGCTTCGCTATGGATGAAGGTGCTGTTATCGCCGATCCACTCGAGTGCCGGCCCTCGCATCAGTGTCGCTGCGAGTCGTACGCGTTATCCGTCCCAGACTGGCGAGCTCCATCCGGCGGCTGCGAAGTAGATCTCCATGCCGGCGATCCATCTACGGGCGTCGGAGTTTCGATCGCTCGGATCGAACGCCTTAGGTGGGCGCGGTTTTGGAGCCTCAAGAAATTGTTATGACTGCTGCGTCGTTGCCGTTGTCGTTTCGTGTTGCGCGCCGGCGAGTCGAGTTACTCGCTCGAACTCTTGTCGCCAAGCTTCGCGGTCGGCTCGCATCTCCTCTTGTAGGGTGGCGATGCTTGCGAAAAGCTGCTGGGTAACTTCGGCATTGTCATTTTTCGCCATCCTGTTCAAAACACGCGCGGAGGGGGTAATTCGAAAAAACGCGGAGCTGGTGCTTACCAGAATCGGCGTCGAATTGGTCGCCCCTGGCGGTTTTTCGAGGCAGGCGTCCCGCTGCTGCTGCTTAACTGAGCGCGGCCGAATGAGAAAAGCTCTGATTACCAAGTGTCACAGGATCGAATGTGTCGAGGAAAGGTTGCACTATCGATCAATACAAGACGCTTTTATACTCCAAAAGTACATCAGGTAACCACGTTTATCCTATCCCAAGAGAATAGACCATTCTAGAAAATAGAATCACTCTGCGTATAGCCACGCGAGGCTATGGGCTTTAAGGGATTACGACATGATGACGCTAGATATAGCACGCCAGTATATCCCGAGCCTGGTTGGTGATATAATGATAATAACAGGAGAAACCAAAGGTTTATGGAAAAGAAGGAATAGGAATCCAAATGGAATGAGAAAAAGACCAAATGAATCAAGATAAAAAAGAGGAATGAAATGGAAAGGGGAGATGGAAAGGAGAAAGGAATGGAACGGGGTAGTACTCTCACAATGCCCCTATCTAGGCTATAGTAGCATATATAAATATGTTTGACACAGTGTTCTTCTAAATTTCACCGAGGTTACAACGAGGATTCCATTGTCCAACTTCCTTCAACTCGCATATGGGATACCTCCCAGCCAAACATCACTTTCTAACATGACATTACGCAGCTATGTTTCCCCTCCTCTGTTCTGGTTGCTTGACAAAATGGTTTCCACTTGCGGTAAGTTGCATGGATCAAGTTTCTTATGCGTGACAATCTTTCAGGCATATTTTACAGATCTCCTCTTAGTGCCCAATGGTTTCGCCACACGTTGATTTTGGTCCCAGCTGGGCTATTCATCCATTGATGACGCGGATTTTCTGCTGCATGCTCTCATACTCTTCTGTCTACTCCTTCGTTGCGTGGATCTAGCTTTGTGGTCCTTCTTTCCATGCCTACCCCCGATCGCTATACGTGCCAATGCTCCTGCATGGCCGTTTGACTCGAGACGCCACTCAGGCTCTCAGTATTTTCGGGACTCTGGTCGCTCAGACCAAGCTCTCAGCTTCCTCACCTTATTTCCCGGACTGCTTCCCTTTTTCCCCCCGTGAGTCGCCATACCGAATCGCGCTCCTCCCAGCCACTACTTGTCCCTTTAATGTCTGGAAGCGGTTCGCTGCATTACGACGTCCCCCCAAGGTTGGTATATCCTTCCTCTCATCGTCTTCCCTCTCAACCTTCGCTTTCATGGCCCTGCAGATCCACAACCCATACCTCCCCATGTCTGGTGAGGAGGGCGATAATTCCGACTACGAACTGGAGGAGCTTTCTTACGGCCTCCTTTCCCTTCGCCCCTCTCCTGCCGAGCAGCCATTCGTGAAGAAGCCTTGTATGGAAAGCACCGCTGCAGCTACTGGTCCCGCTGTCGTATCCGCGTTGTTCGAGCCCATGGCTGGCTCCGGCAATCTGAACCCTACTCATGTGGGAGGCTCTACCTCTGCCGCTAT